GTACACGGTTGTAAGATGCACTTTTACTTGCAATGATTTTCCAACTACCTATTCTCAAGTCCAAAAAGCACACCTGGCTCCCTCTTCCCATGAGCTTTGTCGTGAGTGTAGCTCAAAGTTAAACTAAGAAGGAGGTGGCTGCAGGATCATGCTTAGAAAAATGAGCTGCTGATTGGCATGCAAGGGAGAACATGCTGATATAAAGAAATCCCTTGGATTCCATTCAAGTTGGGTTTTGGGAAGATCTGTCAGTCTTGGAATGGAGCTACTTAAAATACTTTGTGGGCAAACTAGTTTACTCCCTCCCCTTTAAGATAAAACCAATACTAGTAAGTAAGTTTGCCACTTACTATTATCATTGCACTCATGTGTCTGGAACCCTAGCAATGCACACCTCTGAAATGATCTGAATTAAGTCGGTATGCTAATTTCACAAAAAGCAAAGCGTAAAATGTTCTCTTGTCGTCCCAATGACAGGAAGTTCTCTCATTGAAAGAAGTCAGGTGGGGTATACTTCCATTATGACCTGGCTCCAGTCACCATTTCCTCTATACTCAGGGAAGGCCACAGAGGGCCAGGGGAAGGGGCCAGCACTGAGTGACGATGGTACTTATCAGTCCTCTCTGTGTAACAGAGGAGTGAAGTGGTGAGGAGGGCAGGTCTAAGGCACTGGCAGCTCCTTTCCTTGGATTTTGAACTCTGGAGGAAGCCAGCAACTAAGTAATTCTCTCATTCTGCTATTACATATTATATAGTACCTTTAGTGAACTGAAAATATAGTTTATCTTGTTACAAATAACATTAACTTGCTTAAAACTTCACATATCCTAGGAAATACCTCTACTCCAAGATTGCAATATAAAGTAGAGTCAACCCTGTCTCTAAAGAAATAAAAAATTCGGCCAGGTGCAGCGGATCACCTGAGGTCAGACATTCAAGACCACCCTGGCCAATGTGATGAAACCACATCACTACTAAAAATACAAAAATTAGCTGGTGTGGTGGCGGGCGCCTGTAAATCTTAGCTACTCAGAGGCCAGCGCAGGAGAATCACTTGAACCTGGAAGGCGGAGATTGTAGTGAGCCAAGATGGCACCACTGCACTCCAGCCTAGGCAACAATAGCAAAACTCTGATCTCAAAAAAAAACTAATAAATAAAATTAGCCAGGCATGGTACGTGCCTAAAGACCCAGCTACCCAGGAGGCTAAGGTGGGAGGAACAGCTGAGCCCAGGAAGTCGAAGCTGCAGTGAGCCATATCACCCCACTGCACTCCAACCTGGGCAAGAGTGAGGCCATGTCTCAAAAAATTTAAAATAGTAGGGTCGACACAACTGTGACATGAAACATGCCACATGTTAAGTTTTGGAAATTCTAGCCTGTCATTGTTGCTGGATATCCTATTCTACGCCAGCTGCCCACCCCCACCCCAGGGTCAACCTGGCTTGCCTGCTCAATCCTCTCCCTCCGCATCTCCTCTGAGAAGCATCTTCTTACCCACTGGCTTTCCCTGCCACTCCTAAGCCTCACCTTTTGTAGGTTCCTGGAGATCCTCACTTCTTGTAGTCTTTGCTAAGGATGAGCCATGTTCAGAAGCTCTCCCTTCAGTCTGCAAGGATTTCAACCTTGACTGCTGATTCCATCACGTGGGGAGCTTTGCCAAAGTCCTGATGTCCTGGCTGTATCCCAGACCAATTCAATCAATCTGATTTAAAGTTCTCATATCACTACAATTTAGAACCAGTGCTGAACACCACTGGTTGCAGGGATATCCACATCCCAAACTACTTCTGGTGTGCTACTCTGAGGCAGAAATGTGAAAATGCTAACTTACGTTGTGTGAATTTCACTTTTCATGTGTGCAATCAACTCTGCAATATGATTCATGACCACCTGATGCAAATCACACAGACTACTGACCTGTTAAAAGCTAGAATCTAGAAATCAAGTAGGAAAAATATGAGTTAGTGCACTGATATCATAGCCCTCAATCAGCTTTTCCAGTACAACAGTTTTTTGAAATAATCTACAGGTATTTAAAAAGCCTTTAATTTAAAAAGTGGTCACTGAGCTGACTTGGATTTTTTTTCCTTCCTCACAGTGGCTCTGTTTCTCAGTACTTTGAAGTTATAACTAATCTGCCTGAAGACTTCTCATGATGGAGAATCAGCCAAGGACTAAGCTTCCACAGAGAAACACTTTGTATCTGGACTTTGAAATTATGGGAACATTTACTTAAACAGATGATCATAGCTGAAAATAATGATACTGTCAATTTGAGATAGCAGAAATTTCACACATCAAAGTAAAAGATTTGCATATCATTATACTAAATGCAACTGAGTCGCTTAACCCTCGACAAGCTCAAAGAAAGCTTTAAATCTGTAAACAGTATACACGTTTTACTTTTACACATTTTCCTGTTCATAGCAATATTAAATCAGGAAAAAAATGCAGGAAGGTATTTAACAGCTAAGCAAAAACATGGAGTCACTCTCAAAGGACACGAGGCCCTTGCAGGGAATATTTAAAGCAACTCCCAAGTTTAAAATGCAGCTGTTGATTCTACCAAACAGCAGTCCAAGATTACCATTTCCGATGAGCAAACTGGGAAACATGATATATCATGAAGTAATATTGTCAAGGCATCTAGAGGGTCCAGGTGAGAAGACTCACCTCCGTTGCTGGGTTAAACAAGAGACAGGTTTTATGTAAGAGGGATTGGTAATAGTAAATCGTTCTCCTTAAACTCAAGTTCTTGACCCTGTTCCACCATATACATCTGGTCTTACAAAGACCAAAGGGATTCTACGCTTCATCAACTGAACCAGTATGCCAAAACCAGGCATCCAATTTGTAAACCAATTATGATAAAGGACAAAATAAGCCATTTGCCACCTCAAAACTTTATGAACTTCACCACCACTAGTGACTGTCCATGGAGTTAGAGGGGACGTTGCTTAGGGGTTCTTGTAGAAATGACACAAGTTTGTTTCCTGGCTTTACCTTGGGAAAATGCTAGCAACATTATAAAAATATTGCCTTGTTGCCTTATCTTCTTCCAAATGTACTGTTAAATAAAAATAAAGGGTTACCCCATGCAATCACACCATGCCATGTTTTCCTTCCTGGAAGGCAGCCCCATGGGATAGTTTATGAGCACACACAATTATAGCTTGTCTCTACTTTAACAAGTATGTGCCTCTGTAAATTCATGTACTGTATTCAGAGGAAAAGGCACCTTGCCTATAATTAAAATGTGGAACTATAGAATTTTCTTAAATACAATACTTAATACTCTTACCTCCCACTCCTGTGGCCTCTCCTTCCTCCAGAGCTGAGCTTCCACACTAGATCTCAATTCACTTTCCACCCACTTGTCTGGCTCGTCACCTACCTCTCTTTGCTGCTTTTTATGACCACCATTTACCTCCTAATGCCAAATCCTATAAACATCTACCAGCCATTATCTCCTTGGACCTTTCTGCTGCCTTTAACACCATTTACTATTCTCCTGAGAACGCACATTACCTTGGTCTCCTTCAGGTTTGCTTCTCTGGCTGTTTCCTTTGATGTGACACTCCCCGCATCCCCAGTGGCTCCACCGCTGTTAGAATCTGCACAGCTGGTTTGCACACACTCCCCTTTGGCATGGTCTGTTCTCCACCTGCTTTATTCCCTTCTATTTTGTAAAAACCTAAAAAGTGTGCTGCCATAAAAACATGACTATAGCATCAATTATAGTACACAGAATTGTTCAACATTATACAAATGATTAGATAAATGACATGATGGAATATTACGAAGCCATTACAAATCATGTTAATAGGCCAGGCACGGTGGTTCACGCCTATAATCTCTGCACTTTGGGAGGCTGAGGCAGGTGGATCACTTGAGGTCAGGAGTTTGACACCAGCCTGGCCAACATGGCAAAACCCTGTCTCTAATAAAAATACAAACATTAGCCGAGTGTGGTGGCATGGGCCTATAATCCCAATTACTCGGGAGGCTGAGATGAGGATCACTTGAACCCAGGGAGTGGAGGTTGCCATGAACCGACATCACACCACTGTACTCCAGCCTGGATGACAGAGACTCTGTCTCAAAAAAAAAAAAAAAAAAAAAAAACCATATTAATATTTATTATACAATATCAAGTATAAAACAGGAGAATACAGAATTGCTTAAACAATAAGCTCTCAACTACGTAAAGAGAAAAAAATCATATATAAGACTACTTGGACATATAAGACTGTCCAAGTGTGAATGGTACCTCTGGAATGGTCTTTTTCCTTCCCTCCTTCATAACCTTTTTCTGTACTTGTAGCTATTTCTATAAGGTGCTTTGGTATAAGGATACTTACTTTAATAATAAATTAAGAACAGAAAGACTAACAATGATGTTCTCAGTTTAGGATTAAGGAATATAAAAGTGGGATCACAGTTCCCTAATTTTCACAAGTTCTGTCTTCATACATCTGTGTAATTCTTTAGTCTGCCAAGTACCTTCATGCCCAGAACTTAGTATGGTTTTCCTCAACAACTCGGAAGCATGCCGAGGCAACAGCATTAACCTCCACAGACGAGGAAACAAGGCTCAGGGAGGTCAAGTGTCCTGGGCAAGGTCACCTGATGGGTTAGTAAGTACAGCAGCCCAGAACTAGAATCCATGTTGTTTCCGGTAGCTCTAACATATTAACACAAACTTAGTGGCTTATTAAACAGCCATTATCTCACAGTTCTGTAAATGCAAGGTCCAACACTGGTCTCACTGGACAAACACATTCCTTCTGGAGACCTGGGGAGGATTCATTTCCACCCAGGCCCACTCAGGTTGGCAGAGTTCAGTTCCATGTGGCCATAAGGACTGAAGTCCCCATCTCCTGGCTGGGCCAGCCAGGGGTCATTCTCAGCTTCCATGTTTCCTGACCCCATAAATGAATGAGGATACTAAAACAGTCTATTAGAGGCTTTAGGTAAAATGTACAAGTAGGCGTCTATCACCATGATTGCTACAGTATTTTATTTTAAAAACCACTTACATTGAAATCACTTGGCTGGTAAAGAACTCTTATTACAATAAATATACTTACATTAAGCATTTGTTCTTTTTCAGCTGAGTAAAATATCCCAATGGCTTGTGACTATTAAACAAGGTCTGTTTAGGACATCAAAAACAAAAACCAGTAAATGGCTTAGCATCAAAAAGTTTATTACAATGGTTTTTAAAATTAGCTATGATCTTGACAAATATTACAGGTAAGTCTATAGCAAGTTTCTAATTTCTGAGATATAAAAGACAATAAATACAGATTAAAATTCAGCCTACAAACAAGATTCTAAATCTAATTACTGGTACTGTAGCTTAGTTTCAATATTTCAAATATATGTATAATTCTTAAGATGCTATAAGAACTCATATAATAAAGTTATTGTTCACTGACAACCAACTAACAGTTCTTCACTGACAATATACAAGTGTGCAGTGCCTTCGAGCCTTCACGTGAGCCCCGCAAGGGCCTGTGGGTGCTAGGGACAATGAGAAACAGTGATGTGATGGCACTGGTCCTCTCTGGCAGGAGGACTGGCTTAGGAGCAGGCGTTGAAAACACCCACTAAACAGGACAGCGAGCTGATTTCCCAACTGCCCATAAGTGGTCCTATTTACTGGACAGGATTCTTGTAGAAAACAGGATTGTCACTGTATTATTTCTCTGAGTGCTACACGGGACACCTGTGCCCCAACACAGTACACAGCCTGCTGACGTAGATGCTTTATTTCATCGTGCTAAACGTCTTCTAATGGTGAATTCTTCAATCCTTCATTTTCTTCTAGAGACATTCTTCATCATGTTCAAGCTACATTGTCATTAAAATAAGTCCTGGGAAGTTTTTGCCAAAAATAATCGTATTACTTCTTCTTAATAAGAGATTAATTCTTCATTGACTAAAATTCCATGTGAAGTTTCAGGCCAAGCTCCTTTGTCTTGGTTTAATTCTTGGATATAGCTGCAAAAGAGTTTAAGAAATATTTACATACTATATAGATGTGTGGGAATATAACAAAGTTTCAAGAAATAATGAGGTTAGGGGATGGATGTCACGGGAAGGGAATCAAAGTAAGAAACGCAATCTTGGTGGTGTGTGAAGCACCTAGAGCTTTGCATTTAACAATGTGCTGTGCTCATCAGCTAGACTTCACAGGACGTTCAAAAGATCACAAGGGCCCATCAACTGCAGCAACTCTACAAAGCAGCAATATAAAATCCCATGACAGTTCCAGATATTAACTCAATCTGCACAGCTTGTTGAGCTGTAAATCAACTGTAACAAGGAAGGCAAACTGCTATATGCTCCAGCATTTGGAGCTTCTATCAGGAAGGAAGGAAGAGATTAAATTCTTTTACCTTTGTTCACAATTGACATGACATTGTGTCATGGGACTTCAGACTGTCAGAAATGAAATGCCACAGACTAAAAGTCTACAAATTTAAGGAAGGTTGGGTGAAGTTTTTGCTTCAGAATTCTGTGGTTTTGTGTTTTTACAACAAGAGCTGTATAAGTTGAGTCCTAGTGAAGGCTGCATGCCTTCCAGGCCTGAGCTAGGACCAAGTCAAACTGGTAAATTCAGCTAACACACCAAACAAAAGCAGTCCCACTTGACAAAAGAAAAATAAAAGGGTTTACTCAAGGAAAGTAGAATCATAGGCTTTAATTACATCCCAATTTAAAAATAAATAAATAAAAATAATAATTTAAAAAGACTTCCAGTCAAAACTAAACAACTAACTGGTGGATCCATGTTACAGAAAAGATTATTTTTCTATCTGAAAAGACGACACTTAGCTAATACAATTTTCTAGACTTCTATCTGAGCCCTGACTACACATATGCACTGCCCTTTAAAATAAAAAAAAATCAGGGAAAAAACTCAAAAAAGTTGTGTAGAGGATACTTCTAACAAGAAAAGATTTTCAAAGTACTAAGAAAATCTAAATTTAGGACTAAAATGAAACTCTTCAGTCCAGTCTGTTAATTTCAGAATCTTCTGAGCACCACACATGTGAGACAAAACAGTCTCTGAGCGACTGCTCCCACGCTTGGGAACATGCAATGTTCCCCGTGTCATTAACCACAGGACATCTTTGTTAGAAAATTTAAATAATTCAAAAGACCTATTGTATAACTTGGTGACTATAATTAATAATGTATTGTATACTTAAAAATCACTAAGAAAATAGATGTTCTCACCAAAAAAAGGATGACCATGTGAGATAATGCACGTATTTAGTTCAATTTAGCCATTCTACAAGTATACATATTTCAAATTATGCTATACACCATAAATACATACAATTTTTGCCAATTTAAAAAAAAGAAAATAAAATAAGTAAACAACTATTTTACTTATTAAAGAGTTCTAAGAAGATACTCTTTCCCAAATAAGAAACTATACAAAACAAAAGGGCTTATTTACCACTGATGTTTATCAGAGAAGGAAAGTGGCCGCATGCAAGAGACTATACCTCTCTAGTGCTAGAGACTTTGGAGAAGCAAGTGAGGGTGCTTGAAAGAGAACAATCTTTATATTTACGTCTGCTGTCCTCTCGTAATCTGAAACCTTTTTTTTTTTTTTTTTTAAAGACAGGGTCCACTGGGTCGCCCAGGCTGGAGGGCAGTGGTGCAATCTCGGCTCACCACAACCTCCGCCTCCCAGGCTCAAGCAATTCTCCTGCCTCAGCCTCCCAAGTAGCTGAGATTAAAGGTGCCCACCCCACACCTGGGGAATTTTTGTATTTTCAGTAGAAACAGGGTTTCACCATGTTGGCCAGGCTGGTCTCAAACTCCTGACCTCAAGTGATCCTCCTGCCTTGGCCTCCCAAAGTGCTGGGATTGATTACAGGAGTGAGCCACCATGCTGGGTCCCTGAAAGTGTTTTTTAAGGGCTCCATAGCCTAATTTAATTTTTCACTTTCATTATTCTTTAAAATTACATTATGATCACCCAAATGAATACTATCTAATCATCTATTCAAAACTTGTTGTGAAATGTTTATTTCATAATAAATGTTTTTGTCAGGACAGCAGCAGTCAAGGTATAAGTCATTTACGCTGCATGTTAGACAAACAATGGGGAAGGGAGAGTCAGGGGGAAATGCTGGTCAGAATCCAGGAAGTCAGGTCCCAGCAATGAAGTCATTTCAAGGAATCCCACCAGAAGTCATGCCTAGGCAGTGGATCATTTGCAGATAGAATCCTGTTCATAGCCTAGATGTCAGAGAAGAAGCTCCATGTGGGTAGAGGCCATGTCTGTCTGAACTTGATGAAAATACCAAGAATAGCATCTACCATTTGCTCTCTATTATCTCTGAGTTATCCTCCCACCAATCTTAAGAGGCAGAATTCTCCATCCCTCCCCATGTTCCCTCTGCAGCCTGGATACCCAAATAATAGGTGCTGCAGGTAGATCTGAGGCAACGTGGAGGCCAGTGCTCACGACCTACACACCGTTTTCTATGTATCATAACTGGCTCTTCCTTTCCTCAACCCTTTCCTTACTTCCTCACCAAGGGCAGATTTTGCAAGCACTTTAAACTTTTATCTCAATCTCTCAATTACCCTGATCATTTCCCTCACTCTTTCATACATCCTCCACGCCCCCTGCACATACACAACTGCTATAAGAGAACAGCTGAATCTACAGAGCCTACTGCAAGGCCCTGGAACCTGTTATTCTCACTTTCTCTCCTCTGTCTGACCATATGCCAGCCTTCCCCTAAAAATACTCCTGGAGAATTTTACGTGATGACAGCAATCCCATTGTACTATACTATAGAAGTGGTACACATGTGCTGGCATATTATTTTCTTGCTTTTTATGAAATGTAAATCAGACAGTAGAGGAAAACAAAGAATCTTGTCCTTAATGCCCTGTTGAAGCTCTCTACCAAATTTGCAAATACTGATTTAGTCTAACTAAAAATTGATTTCAGATGTCACAGGCTCAATTCCGATCATATTATCCAGTTACCCTGTGGTCTATTTATAAATGTAGGCAGGACCCCTGACCTCCAGGGGCTGGCAAACATATGTTATTGATCATAATAAGAATCACTGAAAATGTGGCTTTAAGTCTAAGACTATCAAAATGTTTAAATTCCATTTCTTATTAACAAAGGGCAGTTGGGTGCACTGTATCCATAACATACAGCGGTTTTTACAAAGCCCCTCTCTGGCACATATGAAAACACCATAAGAGTCAGAATAACTTACTCCCAGCAAGTTGCGTGGAACATATCCCTCCTTATCATTAAGGCGCGCCCACCACCATTCGATTTCATCTTCGTCTTCCCTGTGGATGATCGTCATGCAGTCTCCTTCTTTCATGGGCAGCTCATCGTCATTCTGAGGTTCATAATCCCACAGTGCGTAAATGACTCCTTTATTCATTATGCCCATCTTCTCCTGAACTCCTAAAATCATGACAGTAAAATAAAGCACAGAATATACAACTCAGAGTACACCACTCTTTGTAACTTTTAGCTACATGAAACAAAATGGGAAGAAATGGGTACAGGCTGGAAGGTTAGTACTACATTAAATATACAATAAAATGTCCTGAGGTGGGGGGTAGAGTGCAGTGGAAGGCAAACAGCGTATGGGGAACATACGGAAGACACATTACTATATGCTATCATCTCTAAGGCAGCTCTAAAACTTAGCACTTTATAAGCATCTCTCAAAAGAGCTACTCAGAGTACAAAAACTTCTGCAAGCTTAGGATCTAAAAAAAGAACTGTTCAAGTCTAGGATATCAAAAAAGTGAATGATATGCCTGTCCAATTTCAGCCTACTCCCAAATGTAATGATTAAGGAACTCTAGAAATATTACTTCATTCTTTACCCAAAATTCAGAGCAGACAGAAAAAAAGATAGAAGCAAAATAGTCTCTATGAATTTCCAAATGGGGAAAGATGGAAAAAAAAAAAAAAAAAAAATATATATATATATATATGTATACATACATATATATATATATGTTAGAATGCAAGAATATGGCATTTTAGACATGATCAAAGTCTTCATATAATCAACTCTAATATAAAAAGAATCACAATTCTAAAAGACGTTGAAATCCACAAACTAGGGAGGGGAAAAATCCTCAGAAGTCCAACTTTCACCAGGGTTAGTAACGGATTTGCAAATTAACTACCACTTTAAGTTTTGCCCTTCTTCACTTATATCTTCCTATCCTAAAAGGCAATGCTAATAAGAAGTAACAATCATCAATTGGCAAGCAATAGAAAAAAGCAGAGAGGGAAAAGAATTAAGGTAATAAAGTTCTCAGCAATTCAGAATTATTATTTTCACTTTTATAATATTTTAGAAACCAGAAAAATACTTGCTAGCTTTTGAAGAGATTTTTCAGCTTATGTAAGCACTAAACTATTGATTATGAAATCATTCCTGTATCATCTAATGATACAGCACACAGTATATTTCTCTCACTCTGGGAAAAATTTAAACAAGAAATAGTTCTTTTCTAAAAGAAGGCTCTGCCAATCTAAAGAGACAAGTAAATTTTCAACTCCCCTTGTTTAAAGATGACATGCTAAGCATGACAGACTCACATGGACGATCAAACTTTACAGCTATAATTTCACAGTTTTTAAAATGGCCAGATGCACTGAGATGGGAATGGAGAAAGATATGGGAGATTGCGGATATTTTAGTATACTCAAAATAACAGCTCAAGTCTCAATTTCCAATAAATTAGGGACAGGGTCTTGCCCACACTGGTCCAGGACTCCTGGGCTCAGGAGATCCTCCCACTTCAGCCTCCCAAAGTGCTGGGATTACAGGTGTGAGCCACTGTACCTGGCCGCCAATAAATCATTAGGAATGGAGAAAAATTATCATTACTTTGCTATTTATCAGATTAAGAGTTGCAAACTACTTTTTAAAACATTTTTTGAAGGGACTAAAACATGCTCAGTGTTAGTGGTAACTTGGGAAAGGCAAACTAAAGCTACAGTGAGACATCATTCCAAATCCACCAAGAGTCAGAGAACATGGAGTAAAAGGAACCCTCTGCTAGATGTGCGTCACCGCGGCCTGGCAAGTCTACTTACAGATGAACACCACAAGACAAGTACAAACATGTTCACAGGGATGTTTATGGAGGAATGAAAGGAAGGAGGAAAACAGCACACATGTCCTTGGAAAGGAGAATTAAAAGATAAATTGTGCTATGGTCATCAAATGGAGTAGCACAGTGAAAATATACTATAGCTACAGGCAACATGAGTGAATCTCAAAAACAATGCTGAATGAGAAAAAACAGGCCACAGAATCACCAGTATGATTTTATACAAAGGACAAAAACAAGCAAAACTGAAAATATTATAGAATTCATACATAAATGATGTAATTGTTTTTAAAAAACAAGGAATGCTAAACATGAAAGCAGTGGTCACTACAGACATGAGAAGGGGCCACATCAGGGAGGGGAGTCCAAATGGTGTCAGAGAGAGTGCTTATCTTCTGTTTCCTGAGTTGGGTACACAGTTTCTCACAGTGTGTAATCTATTATCACTTAAATAGCACATCCTGGTATCTACCATATACTTCATAAATTTTAAGAATTTAACCAAATATCCCAATGTTTTAAAAAATCATATTCCATATCTAAATATAGGTCAAAATGGTCAATAAATTTAATATGGCAAAATATATATTAACATATTATATATGTATATGTGTGTGTGTGTGTGTATATATATATATATATATATATATATTTTTTTTTTTTTTTTTTTTTTTTTTTTTTGAGACAGAGTTTCGCTCTTGTTGCCCAAGGTGGAGTGCAATGGCATGGTCTCAGCTCACCGCAACCTCCACCTCCAAGATTCCAGTGGTTCTCCTGCCTTAGCCTCCTGAGTAGCTGGGATTACAGGTGCCCACCACCATGCCCAGCCTGGATTCGAACTGCCCGCCTCAGCCTCCCAAAGTACTAGAAATACAGGCGTGAGCCACCATACCTGGCCAACACAATATATTAACACCAGTAACCTCAAAACTTTGGAAGGCCAAGGTGGGAAGATCGCTTGAGCCTAGGAGTTCAGGGCTGTAGTGAGCTACCAACACACCACTGCACTCCAACCTGAGTAACAGGGCGAGACTGTTTCAAAAACAAAATACATATATAAATACGTAAGACATGTATTTTTATATATATACATTTTAAAATATGTTAGTATATCAAATATTCTACAGTCTGGAGTTCAAACCATAAACAAAGGCTGGCCATAGTGGCTCACACCAGTAGTCTCAGCTCTGGGAGGCTGAGGCAAGAGGATTCTCTGAGGCCAGGAGTTTGAGACTAGCCTGAGCAACAGAGCAAGGCCCCGCCTCCAAAACAAATTTAAAAGGTCAGGCATGGTGGCTCACACCTGTAATCCCAGCACTTTGGAAGGCCAAGGCAGGCAGACTGTTTAAACTCAGGAGTTTGAGACCAGCCTGGACAACATGGCAATATCCAATCTCTACTAAAAATACAAGTACTAGCTGCGTGTGGTGGCACATGCCTGTAGTCCCAATTGCTCTGGAGGCTGAGGTGATAGGATCACCTGAGCCCTGGTAGTCAAGGCTGCAATGAGCTGTGATTGTGCCACTGCACTCCAGCCTGAGTGACAGAACAAGACCATCTCAAAAACTGATAATAAAATAAAAAATTAGCCAGGTGTGGTGGCAGGTGCCTGTGGTCCCACCTACTTAAAAGCTGAGGCAGAAGGGTCACCCGAGCCTGGGGGCTGCAATGAGCTATGATCATGCCACTGCACTCCAGCCTGGGTAACACAGTGAGACTTCATCTCTAAAAAAATACAATAATCACCAATAGCAATAATAAAAACTATCAGCTGAGAGAGATGAAGAAGAGAACCTGAGATCTATGGTTCTCTGATCCCTCTCCTTTCACATCTAGAGCCTGAAGAAAGGCCTAGAGACAGGGAAAAATGTTCAGCAGAGAGGGCAGAGGCGTATGTCTTTACCCTTAGGGATCTTCCAATCAATTGGTAAAGGAGTTTTTGAGAACTTGAGCAGTCTGGAGTTCTAGGACCTCCTCATTTAGCTCTGTCTTCCCTCCTTCTTTAATTCCTCTTAAACCCAACTAAAGAGCAAAATTAACCTCAACTTCTAAGCCTTGTAAACAAAAAAAAAATTTTTCCTTGTAAATAAAAATTCTAACCAACATATATCCATCTAAAACTTCAAGTCCATTTTCCTCTAGGTACAGATCTGATGTTAGCAACAGAATCATAAACTAAAAATCAATAAAATGTGTCTACAACCATCTGATCTTTGACAAACCAGACAAAAACAAGCAATGGGGAAAGGATTCCCTGTTCAATAAATGGTGTTGGGAAAGCTGGCTAGCCATGTGCAGAAAGCAGAAACTGGACCCCTTCCTGACACCTTACACTAAAGTTAACTCCAGATGGATTAAAGACTTAAACATAAGACCTAACACCATAAAAACCCTAGAAGCAAATCTACGCAAAACCATTCAGGACATAGGTGTAGGCAAGGACTTCATGACGAAAACACCAAAAGCATTGACAACAAAAGCCAAAAGAGACAAATGGGACCTAATCAAACTCCACAGCTTCTGCACAGCAAAAGAAACAATCATTAGAGTGAATCGGCAACCAACAGAATGGGAAAAAATTTTTGCAGTTTACCCATCTGACAAAGGGCTGATATCCAGAATTTACAAAGAACTAAAACAGATTTACAAGAAAAAAACTAACAAGCCCATTCAAAAGTGGGCAAAGGATATGAACAGACACTTTACAAAAGAAGACATACATCAGGCCAACAAACATATGAAAAAATGCTCATCATCACTGGTCATCAGAGAAATGCAAATCAAAACAACATTGAGATACCATATCACGCCAGTTAGAATGGCGATCATTAAAAAATCTGGAGACAACAGATGCTGGAGAGGATGTGGAGAAATAGGAACACTTTTACACTGTTGGTGGGAGTGTAAATTAGTTCAACCATTGTGGAAGACAGTGTGGCGATTCCTCAAGGACCTAGAAATAGAAATTCCTTTTGACCCAGCAATCCCATTACTGGGTATATATCCAAAGGATTACAAATCGTTCTACTATAAGGACACATGCACACGAATGTTCATTGCAGCACTGTTTACAATAGCAAAGACCTGGAACCAACCCAAATGCCCACCGACGATAGACTGGATAGGGAAAATGTGGCACATATACACCATGGAATATTATGCAGCCATCAAAAACGATGAGTTTGGGTCCTTTGTAGGGACATGGATGAACCTGGAAACCATCATTCTCAGCAAACTGACAGAAGAGCAGAACATCAAACACCGCATGTTCTCACTCATAGGCGGGTGTTGAACAATGAGAACACATGGACACAGGGAGGGGAGCACTACACACCGGGGTCAGTTGGGGGGAAATAGGGGAGGGACGGTGGGGGGTGGGGAGCTTGGGAGAGATAGCAAGGAGACAAATGCCAGATGTAGGTGATGGGGAGGAAGGCAGCAAATCACACTGCCACGTGTGTACCTATGCAACAATTTTGCATGTTCTTCACATGTACCCCAAAACCTAAAATGCAATAAAATAAATGGGAAAAAAAAAAAAAAAGCTTACCAGCTTAAAAAAAAAAAAAAATCAAGAAAATGAAAAAGAGGAAAAGAAAAAAGACAGCTCTAAAATATATGTTGCCTTTATTTCACTTTATGACAAGTTTGATTTCTAGGAAAACTTGGACCATTTGGATTCTTAAACTGATCCTGCACTTTTCTTGATCTCGTTATTAGGAGGGGGATCTGTTTACTTATTTGCAAGGATACACCATCAATCTCTAAGTACTAAAGCCTGAATAGAGGATCTTTTATGGTCAAAGCCATTAACACCACTAGGTCAGATGCTGCAGCACTGTCTTTTGTAGTTGAAGAAGTCCCTGACAATAGCTGTTTCTAAGCATACAAACAGAAGCTGTATTATTATCTGTGACCAAGGCTGCCCTATTTTCAAGGCCCAGGACTATGGATAACACAAAAGACTTTTTCCAAACAAAAATACTTACTGAATTATATCCTGGAGATACCGGATAAATGAAAGCAGTAATCAATACATTTAGTTCTACTTGCCACATACCATAAAGAAACTGGGAGCACTGAGTGTAGCCTTCCTCCATTTCCTCACACTTGTCTGCAGCAGTCTGCATGTCACTGTAGGTCATGGCAAACACAGCGGCTCCCGACTCCACCAAAAACTTACACACTTGGACATTGTTACATGAGGCAGCGCAATGTAATGGAGTCCTGCAAAGCAAGACACAAGGGCTAGAAATGTCTTCCTAAATTGAATGACGCCTGCTGGGTTGAAATATCTGGAAAGAAAGTTCTCATGTCTCTCATCTACCAAGCTGTTTCTTCTGAAAACCTCCTAAACAGTTTTTTAAAAACCAGTTCAACATAGATGATTGAACCCATCAAAGAATTAGAGCCACAAATGAAAACTTCAGAGTGTCATGAACAACACTGGGGCTGAGAGTTTGGCAAAGGGTGAGAAGAATCAAGGGTGTGAAGAAGAAGAAATGAAATACGTATAATAGTTTAAGAAAAACAATATAAAACAGATTTAGCTCTATGTCCTGAGCACCCAGCCTAATTATTGCTATCAGAATAGAAGACCTAATAGTCCTTAAATTATACATATTCACTCAAAACATTTGCCTTTAAACATCTATTTATCACCACCAATTTTGAAGGAATTAAGTTGCATATATGAACTTTTATATTTTTTAAATCTCAAGTTAAAATAAATTTTAATTGAAAAAACTTGTCAAATCAATTAAGACCAGAAAAGTAACTATAAAATACACATTTTTTTTTTTTTTTTTTTTTTTTAAAAACAGCGTCTTCTTGCTCTGTTGCCCAGGCTGGAGTGCAATGGCACGGTCTTG